TTCCTAAGGATTCCATTGTACGAGCCAGACAAGCGTGTTGACCTAGCTGCATCAAAGTCTTCACGTTGAAGGAGCCCAGATTAAGTGATTGATGAGGCTATAGAATCTGCAATCTTTCTCGTGGTAAATCACTTACGGTGCTATTTGGCAATGACCTTTGGCGAGCGACATCCAAGTTGCTTGAGGGACTATTACAGGTCGGTAGACGGGGTAAAGGGATAGGGTTGGGAACGGAAGACAAAGAGTCGAACAAAGGTTGGGATATCTGAGCAGTAGCCCATTTATCACTACCCACCTCGCTCGATGCAATGGGCAGTGCGGTCCTGATTATCCTGCACGACAACCCATGCAGTATGGAATTATTTTTATTTTGTGTATGCATTGGGGTTTGGTGGACGGGTACTGATAGGGTGTCCAGCCACTAAGCAGGGGAACGATTAGGGTTCTCGTCCAAAGTTTTTAGTTCTAACAAGAACCTAACCGCAAGGCAGCGGGTGAGGCAAAGTGGAAGCCCATTTACTTGGATTGATTACTCCTCCATTTTTCATCGACTGAAACGCCAAATTTCACGCGAACCCCCAACCTGGAGGACCAGGAGACTGAAGTTCGTCTGACCACTACACATTGACCTTCCAGGCACGAAAAGATCTCCTGGCTTTATAAAGCCATCCTGTGTAGCTCGTTGTGTCACAGAGGTGCACAAGCCACAAGTGAAGGAAACCAGCAACCACGAGTGATGAGCCATATAGTCTAAAAAGATCAGGTGTGGTAGTAAGCCGGGGGACAGCAGAACCGTTTACCACAAATATTTCTTTTAAATTACATGAACTACAAGGAAAATTAAACTAAATCAGGAGAAACAATAGTGGTCATTATCATACCTTCTCACTGGCAGGCGCATGAAGGTTTCCGACAGAGATCCATCGTCACTACGGTACGATCTGATTGCGTCAAATATTTCTTGGCAGAGATCCAGCTAAAATTGACGGTAGAGTACGTGGAATTTCGTGTTTATTATGCAACATTTCTTTCAGCGAGAAGCACTTCTACTTATTTATTAGATGAAATGCGTTTTTTATAAGAAACTTGTGTGATGAGTAGCAGACGGGGTGGACTCCATAGTCACGAAGACCTACTGCTCGAGGATATAAACCGGTTATCCAAGCCCCAGGATTTGTAGTGACGAAACACACAAGGCTTCGCTGGGTCAGGCGTAGTATTGAACTGTTTTGATGGTTTTTAACCTGATATAATTGCATACGGAACACTGCCTAAGAGTATACCCCTTAAACAATGTTCGATTGCAAATAATTTATGAAATTTAGTGCCCCTTGCCTAACGTGTCATAATTAACCCGAGCTTTGTTTCATCGTTTGGGCCGCTAATTGTGCTTTCTATTAAAAGATTTGCTGCTGCCAGGCTACATACTACGCTTTTCCTATGAACTCCACTACCAGAAGTGCCAGCGCTGACAGTTTCCATCACTGTAAGATAGGTCCTCGTGAACGTCTCATCTCCACTGTCGTTCGTTACACTGGATAGCAAAATCAATCACCATAAAATAAATTAAACGCTGCAATCTAGCGGATAAAAACACCGTTAAATGAGAGAGGCTAGTGGTGCGAAATGTTGGCATGTTAACTGACAGTTGTGCAGCATAAGGGAGTAAAAAACGTTACAGTACTTCGGAGAGTCGTTCAGATCATGAACAGTGATAATAAATGTGCAAAAGTCACGTGTGTAATAAGATGATAACGCATAACACGATATGAACAATCACATGAAAGCTGATCGCTTTAGTCCTTCTCATTAAGAAATCAATCCTATTATTATTACATTTCACACGTCTGACACCAGATTGTCAAACAAATCATCTTCATAAAAAGAAAAACATACCATGATCTGCAAATCAGAAAACACTTAAAAATATATCAAAGTATAAGATAGTTGGTAAATATGTGCCACAAATAAACAAAGGAATTTGTGGAAATTAACACTCACTTGCGAAGCGTTAGCAAGTCGACGTCTTTTTCGTAAAGTAACATTGCTCGATTGTGAATCCTCACCAGAAGCATCTTGAATCGGCTCGCCAGACATTTCTCGAGCGGCACGTTTAAGCATCTGAAAATTACCGGAAATCATAAGATTTATCAAGTATTGCAGTAAAAACAATTTGTTTGTTAAAAATACTTTATTGTTTATTTCTGTACAACGCGGAGGTTAAGACGACGAGAAAACACCTCAAGATGATGGGACTTGTCGTGAGCTTTTCTTGATAAAACAGTCACAGGGGAGCTCATAGTTCCTGGGATGAAATAACCAACGCTCATAGACCGAGTAGTGTGTCCAAAAAATATTTCTATGTTGCGGAAAGACCCACTAGAGGAACTGTAAACGCCTGCCACGCCGGCATAACGATGCTCATCCTGTGCCAGTAGCCGTGAATTAAGAAAGTTGTTTGTGATAACAGTTCGCAAAATGTCGGGTAATGAATCATCCGAACTGGATAAGACGGCCTCTGCTGTGCGTTGAGCTAGTTGGGTACGGATTAACTGTTCTCCTGTGCCTGAAGTCACCACGCCTACGGCACTTCCACTGAGATCCTGATCTGCCCAACAACCACAACCGTACATACATGCCTGGCCGATCCTTCCTTCATGTTTCAGAGCGACGCCACCACTAGAGACTGCAGCAGCAACATTGCCAAGTTTGTCAACACAAACTGCACCGACTGTATCCAAACGCGATTGTCCCTCAGCAAGCCTCCGTTGTTTAAGAGGTAACTTACACTGGACGGTTTCATTTTCAACAAGCTTTTTCGCTTCAGCAGCAGAAAACCACTGCTTGTACTTTATCCAATCAGCACGTGCTTTATCCGATGCAAGATCGACTTCGCTAAACCGAGATGGATCTCTCGCGAGAACCCAACGGCGAGCACCGGATCCAAACAGAATGCAGGGTTGTACACGACCCAATGTAGTATAGGTGCCATGCAGCTGTTCTTGTAGCAGTAATTCGGCAGCAAAAATAGGATTCCGAATGCGGCTTATGGCTCCGACCCCAGCGAACTTCAGACTTGACCCACACATGATGCCAGCATCACATTCAACGGAGCCATCAAAGGTAAGATTACTCCCAAAGCCAGCATTCGTCAGTATACTGTCTTCCAAATGCGCTACTGCGGCCGAAACAGCACAGACCGCACCTTTACTCCGATCGGACAACACAGAAACAGCAACCCTACAAGCATCGCCACATAACTCCTTGTAAGCAGTTTCTTTGGTTTTTGAATGATACCCCGCACCTGCATGCACAATTACGCATGGGTTTCCGTACATGAAACTGTGTGAGACTAAAAAAACCGTTCAAAATTTATTTTTTTGGGGACATAACGCACCGAATCGAAAACGCCGCCACACAAACACGTTGTCTTGAAGTCTTGAAGTCTTGAAGTGATTCAAGGGTTCGAGGCTGTTGCCCAAATGTCCCGGGTCC